TAGCTGAGGTCAGTCTCCTTATCTTGCTACTCTTCTCCTGCTGCCCATGCCTTCACCTGCCTAAATCTCTCGTGCTCCTAAGGAAAGACTTGGCTTTCCACCACCTTCCTGCAAAAACACTGCTCCGTGCAGCAGGGCTGAAGCACGAGAGGTCAAACCCTTACAGAGAGGGAGTCCAGCAGCCAGACCTCTGCCTGGAAAAGCTTTCACTTCATCTGAGTCACACAGCCCGGAGATCCCTTAAGCTCCTGGTAGGAAAAGGAGAGGTGTCAAAACAGGGAGCAGCCCTGGAAGGGGTGGGTGTGTTACAGATCCATCACTTCTTCTTCCACAGCTTTGTCCTGAGATTGCACATACCTCTCCTGTACTGCAAGTGTGCTGATAAGGCAGTAATTAAGGAAAACAAGGGGCTGGGTTCAAACACTCCCTTCTGCAAGGAGCTCTTAACGCTCCCAGTGAGGAACCAGCCCCATATTAGCCTCAAGGCTGGCAGGAAGACGGCAGTACTGGCAGCAGCACACAGCACCTGAGTTATTTCTGGCTCTGGCTGATCCCAGACCTGACAAGTACAGGAGAATCAATTGTATGGTTTGGATGAGATGGAATGAACCACTCCGAGTTGGTGTGAGAGACAGGGAAGTTGTCAAAAGAGTCTTCCCACATTCACAGTATCAATTAGCAACGACTGTGGTGGCTTTGGCATGGACAACTGTCTGTAAGGTCAGGGCTGAGCCCTACCAACTCGCTGCATAGGTCTCACCAAACAGCATCAGATGATGCTGGGAACAACCAGGGCCTGCAAACTGCCAGCCACACCTCCAGTTTGTCCTTCCCCAGGGAAGGACAAACTAAAACTCAACAGACAGAGGGTCAGTGGTGAAGGATACGAAGTGAAGTGGAAATCAGCTCCCACTGCTGCCGACATCAGAGCTTCGAGGCTCCTGTGCTCCTGGTCTCCAAAGGAATAGCCATTGGCTTTGTCCACTGCCTGCATCACCTGCTGCATGCTCTGCTTGTCCTGGAAGGGAGGGAGATGACACACAGGGAATCTGGTCCTTCCCCTGGGGCAAGACAGCTCCTTCCCCAGGGGCGCAAACAAAGGGACACAGGACAAACAGGGGCACCCACTGCTGAGCCCGAATACGTGATGGGCTGACACCCTCCACCTTCTCCCTCCCTTTCATCACCTCTTGTCTCAGCCCATTTGCCCTTGTTGGCAGCGCTGCAAACTACCAGATGAACATTTGCAGCCCTTCCTCCCAAATGTATTCCTCCCAGTCTTCTAGTTATTTTAGGCTCCCTAATTTAACGTTTTAGGTTAATACTTTGTCCAGATTTGAACCACAGGCACAGAAGAGCTGAATGCAGCGGGACCCCAGGACACACACAAGGCCCACACAGCCCTGAGCTCATCAGCCTTTCTTTTCCCTTGGCTGCCACAGATCACTCACAAGCGTTTCACTCTCCTCCTCCATTCCCAAGTCTTTCCACAGCTCCTCCTCCCTCCCCAAATCTTTCCACAGCTCCTCCTCCCTCCCCAAATCTCTTTCAGCTCTCATGGCTCTAAGCAGACACAACCTGGCTGCTACCAAACTGCTGGCCAAACACCCAGTGCTCCCTGCTCTCTCTGCCCCACTCCTGCCTCCTCACCTGGACGTTGAGTGGAACAAAGGACACCAGGCTGTAGTCCTCAATCACCTCCACCAGCTTCTCATTGAGGCGGCGGTAGTTTCTGAAGAAGGGGTCAGAAGCTAAATGGTCAACCAGATAGGAGAGGTCCAGGACCTCTGTGTAATAATCCAGGTTGAAAGCTGCATGGAAACACCAAGAAGCTCTGAAGGCAGCTTGTAAATTGAAGAACCCAGTGAGATTTACACCAGTTCCCCATCCATCTCCCAGCGATGCATCCCTCAACACAGCCCAATTCCATGTGTGTCTCTCTCCCAGGCTCTTACCCAGTTTGCCATATTGCTCAATCAGGTCCATCTTGGAGAGGACGTTGACGTGGGGCAGCTCCACGTGCAGCATGGTGGACAGGGAGGTGCAGAGAACAGAGATGAACTTGCCAGGGTCTGTGCAGTAGTGAGAATCCACCAAGTGCACTGCAGCCAACTGGACAGCAAAGGCACAGAAGGACAGCACCAGGTCAGACCCATGATGGAGTGGCTATAGGACAACCTGTTCAAGACCTGACTATAACCACATAGACCCCCATATAGGGAAAGTTATCACCTACCTCCTGAATAGAAAACATCCTCACATACAAGTGCATGCATATAGCAAGTCTATCCCACACACTCCCATCCCACCTTGGGGATTGAGAACTCAGGGTGCTGCTGCTCAGAAAGGGCTGTAGGGATGGTTAGAGGGGTGCTGAGCCCCACCAGCACTACTGAAAAACACTTAAATCTGCAACTGCTGCCCTTTACTTCCTTTGCAGCTGAAGTTTCCATGCCTGTCTGGACTCGGCAGGGTTTTGGGTACTGGGAGCTGGGGTTAACTCTCCTGAACACCACGACTGCTTCCAGATGTCCACCTTCCCCTCAGGAATGCTCAGGAGCAGTGACTGCAGCACACCACGTTCTGCTGGGAGAACCAATTGCCCTGTGGTTTGCAATAATAATTAATAATTACACTAATGAGCAGGTTGATTCCTGGCGTTTTGTGGAGCTGTAACAATGTGGTCTGAGATCTCTGTTAAGTTACTGCCTCTTACACAACGTTACTCAAAGCCAGGGCTCTGTAGTTGAGTGTGGCTGAGTCACAGCTATGCTTCTGCAGCAGAAAAGAGCCAGTTTCAAGCTGACAGGCACTCGGGCCAGCATCACCACAGCAATGCAACTCTCTTTTTTTAGCAACCCCAATTGCATGCACATTTATTTAAATCAAAATCATCTCTAATGCGCCGATTCCCAGTGACATTCTCAAGCAAATGAACTTGCCCTTCTTGCTCACACCACACACGGTTTGCACATTCATGCTTTGGCCCAAATGCAAAGCAAATGCAACGTAAGCAAGTTCGCTTGCTTGTGGGACTCTTCTCACCTGTGCTTCCTCATTTGCATCGTCCATTGTGCAAGAAAGCACAGAGCACGTACTACAACGTGCAGAGCACTGGGGCTTGGCTGTAGGAGAAGCCAGGGTGGGCTCCTGCACGGGACACAGTGAGCAGTGCAGGGTAAAGGATCCCTCCTTGCCCAGTGCACCCATCGACCCCTGAAATACAGCACCCGCTCTGATATAACACACAAAGTCTGTGGAGAGGACCCTGGAGCACAGTGTGAGCGTGTGAGGAAGGAACCCATGCCTTTGGTCATGATAATCCTATGCAGTCTTGCCTGGAGAAGAGAAGGCTCCAGGGAGGCCTCGTAACAGTCTTCCAATACCTAAAGGGAGCCCCCAAGAAATATAGAGAGGGGCTTTGGACAAAGGCCTGTAGGGCCAGGCCATGGGGAATGGCTTTAAGCTGCCCGAGGGGAGACTGAGATGAGCTCTCAGGCAGAAGCTCTTCTCTGTGAGGGTGCTGAGGCACTGGCCCAGGGTGCCCAGAGAAGCTGTGGCTGCCCCATCCCTGGCAGTGTTCAAGGCCAGGTTGGACACAGGGGCTTGGAACAAGCTGCTCCAGTGGAAGGGGTCCCTGCCCATGGCAGGGGGTTGGGACTGGATGAGCTTTAAGGTCTCTTCCAACAGAAACCAGTCTGGGATTCTATGATTAAATGCCCTGAACAAGCCACTCTTTTGCAAATCCTCTGAGCGTAAAATGGGGTGAAATCCCCCTCCTGCCCTGATAAAGCCATTTCACTTGAGATGCCAAACAGGTCAGTAAAGACCACAGTTTGTTAGTCCCCACCATCAAAAGCTCTTCCTATGAAGCGTGCAGCTTCTGAGCCCTTTGCACAAGCTCACGGGGCCCTGTGGAGCCTCAAACTTACCCTGAAATTCCACTTGACCAACTGTGCGAAGATGTTCTTCAGGGCATCGTGGTGGGTGTAGAGCTCCACCTGCCCCGGGCAGTCAAACAAGTAGTAGTGACCCCTGAACGCAGCCAGCTTCTCCTGCAGCCAGTCGAAGTTGGCCTCCAGGTACTCCATGCAGTAGATCAACCCCCCGTTGGGCCCCAGCTTCAGGCTCTCCATGACGTCGGGCAGGGTGATGAGCTCGGCGATGTCCACGGAGCATTGGTAGGGCATGGTCTCGTTGGCAGGGTCCAGGTTCACCACCGTCACCTTGCGCCCAAGCCTGCCCATGAACTCCTGCATGCCATGGCAGTACGTTGTCTTGCCAGAGCCCGGAGGGCCGATTACCACCTGGCCAAAGGCCAGCGAGCTCCCCTTGCTGCCCTCAGACATGCTGGCTCATCTCCTTCCCTCGGCTGCACAAGGAAAATCCACCGTTTACCGTTTTATTTGCACTGATACGAACGGGAGAGCTGCTGGAATTCACACCGAAGGGAGCATGTGGAAAGGAAGGGGAAGGGGCCATTGTGTCCCTGCTTGCACTGCTGAGCCCCACACCGGGGGGGACGTTACCCTGTCACCCACCAGCTGGTGATGCTGTGGCTGGAAACAAGCACAAACACCCCCCCCCCCCAACCAGACCCACAGGGCTGTGCCTCAGGGGGCAGATCCCTCCCTGCTGCCCGCTGTGGGGTGAGGTTTACCCTAACGGGGTCCTTCCTCATGTGGCAGGGGCACCGGTTCCCTCCCCTCCATTGCTCCACACCCTCCCTCCTCCCCATAGCGTTCCACATCCCCTCTCCTGCATGCTCCTTCCCGCACCCTCACAGGGAAGCTCTTCCACCTCAGAGCTCACCCCAATCTCCCCCCCTGGCACGTTAAAGCCATTCCCCCTCGTCCCATGAGCCGCATCCTCTTCTCCCCACGTCCCTTTATCCCCCACCACGTTCCCCCTTCTCCCCAATAACCCCCGTTCTCCTCCACACCCCCTGCCCAACTCCCTTCACGGCCCATGGGCCCCACCGCCGCCCGCAGGCCGCTCGCCGCCGCCGGTGCTCCGGGCACTGGGTCCGGGTGTCCGCGGGCCCCGAGCGCTGCGTTCCGGGGTAGGAACGGCGGCTGCCAACACAGCACCCTCTAGCGGCCGGAGGGACGCGTAGCTCCGCCAGCGCCGGGACTCGACCCCGGACCTGAATCCCGGCATCAGGGGGTGGTGTCGCGAGTTCGAGTCCCGGCGCCGGCCCTTGTCCCTCCAGCACAACCCAAACCCTCCGTCTGCCTCCAAGAGAAGGGGAAATCACTCCCTGCATCCCACCCGACACAGCGAGAGCCTTAAGGAAGGTCAAGGGGAGCCCGCCAGCGGAGTGCCCACCAATCCCCATTCAACCCTCCAGTACTGGGTCACTAGGACAAAGGCTTCCCATCCCCCTCGGCATCCAAGAAGAGTGCCTGCGTCAGGAAAACGGGGCAGAGCATGTTGAGAGAGCTGTGGAAGGAAGCACCCGCTACGCCCGACCGCAGGGCAACGCCTCCCGCAGAATTCCTCTGGAGGCTGCCAGGACAAGTCTTTCATCCCGATGAGTTTCTCCCAGGAGTGTGGGATCACCACACCCAAGCAACGCGAAGCTGCGGACAAGCAGGGAGCTTTCAGCAGGACAGTTACCGTGCCACGGCTCGCCCTGTCTGTACTTGTCCTTCCCTGGGTCTCAGGCAACCATGAACTATGAGTTCTGGGTTGTTAGGCTCACCTAGCACACAGGCTTGGTTGATTCAGGCATTAGTAGCGACTTTAAACCACCAGTCAGAAGTGCAACACCCTTCCCAGTTCCCACTGGACAGGATCAGTGCTATTTTCCCTCATTGGAGGGTTCAATTAGGGGAAAAAAACCCACCAACACCATTTGTTACAAGTGTGTATTTCTTCCAAAAATAAATATAAAAACACCCTGCTCCAAACCTGAGACCAGGAGCCAGCCTGTGCTCAGCAGGAGTGGAACCATCCCAAAAGCTCTGTGACAGTCTCTGCTCAGTGGGACTGGGCACTGAAGCTCTGCAGAGCGCCATGGGATGCCCGGACAAATGCCATGTGCTGCCTGTACTTCATGGCAGTGGGTGGCTGGCGCCTGAGCAGTTGGTCACCACTGTCCTTTGGGTCAGGGTCATCGTAGATGGTTGAGATGAGGATGGGAGACTCCTGCCGGGGCTTTTTCACCCTGATGAAAGTTGACAGTTTCTCCCCGTGGTACCTAGAAGGAAGCAGGAAACGTTTGGTCCCACATTGCTGAGGCAGACAGGCACCCCTGTGCAACCCAGCTCCTTTCCTTCACCTCCTGCACAGGAGAGGTGTCCTTGTCATAAGCATTCTTATCCTATTCCTGGCTGTGAGAACTGTAGAACAAGAGCCAGCCCTCACAGTGAAGCACACCACCACACAAAGCCTCCAGCACCTTCTCCTGAGAAGGCAGGGCTGAGGTGCATGGCTACAGCTCAGGTAGCTGGGGCTCTCCCTGCTAGAGTACCATAGCAGAGGTGACTCTCAGTCCTCAAGCACAGCTCTCCCTTTGTGTTTGTGTGCTGTAGAAACCTACAAATGATCTCCAGTTCTACTCTTAACACCACACGCCCCTGTAAGGAGCACTGGGCCCATCAGGAACAGCAGCATAGTTGGCTCTGGGGTGCTGTGGCAGGCCCTGCACAAAGGCAGATCCCTGTTCCTTCTGCAGCCAGTTAGCTGCTGTGTCAGCCCAGATTGCTCAGGCAGAAGTTCTGAACACCACCCAGCAAGTCACGGTTGGGTACTTACCCCAGCCCCCTCTTACATCTGGGGTTCTGACCCTCATTGTCCAGAGCTTCAGCCATTCCGGAGTTGCTGCTCCCCAGCCCCAGCCCCTCCGTCCAGCCCTGCTGCTCCAGCACCTTCCTGCCAAAGCCCTGGGAGAGAGGAAAAAAAACATCACAGAGCTGCTGGACAAAGCCCCCCATATCTTCTGCAGAATGCTCTGCCCCTTCCTCACATCTAAGACCTCTCCTCCCCCTAACCCACAAGTGCTGCCACCTCCTGCCCTGCCCCATCAGCTCCTGAGCATGTATCCAAGGCTCACCTTGGTGTATCTCTCAAAGGCACCAATCTGCTGCCTTGAAACAGACCCATCCTCCAAACCGTCCCGGAGTCGCTGCTCCAGACGCATCTGGACCGAGTCCCGAGCATCCTTATCACCTCCATCTAGGGAGAAAGAAGCAAGAGTCAGAGCAGCACAGCTTAGGAAAGCTGCTCACTCCCATCATTTCCCCCAGAGCAGCACGCAACAAGGAAGCAGAACCTGTTCTTCTTGGCAGCTCTCACTGCCAGACAAGAAGAAACGCTGTTTGATGTACCCTGACGTCTTGGACGCTTTCAAAGGATGACAAAGCCAAAGAATTCCTCACTGCAGAAATTCTGCAGGGTCAGAGTTTCCCAACCTCCCTGGTTTCCTGAGTGTGTGGGGGGGTTCAGCTCAAGATACCTTTGTCATAGTAGATGCTCATGTCCACATCCCAGTCATCTGCAGTCTGCTCATCGAAGTCTGCCAAGAGAAAGGAAACACCAGTTTTGGGGACAGCTGTGGAAGCCTGACACAGAAGAGCTGTTTGATGGTGGCCCAGATCCCTATTCTCTCTAACAAAATGGGAAGGAAATGGTATTAGAAGCTCTGCACACCACAGTGCTTACACAAGGGGCTGCCAGCACAACCACTGGGGTCTCTGGTGACTGGATTGAACCACTGCAGGTTTTGTGCTTGAGGGAAGGTTTAAAAAGCAATGGCAAGATACCCACATCTGCAGCTGATGTGGAGTGTTCCTATGGGGTGACGTGATTTACCTGCAGGCCTGGGCCCCCCCAGCTCGTGGTGGTTAGTTTGTGGCTCAGTGACACAAACACCAACATTACCTCCATCCTGCTCCTGCCAGTACTGAGCATCTGTGTAGAAGACAAGGCCAGAGCCGCCCTTCTCCCACTTCAGCTCAATCTCCTCTTCAAAGAGCCTCTCCTCCACACGGTCCTGCTTGGTCACGTCCTCGTACAGAGCCTCGTGGCGCTCCCATTCCTCACAGGTATCATTGTCCTGCAAAGGAGGTGGAGAAAGGTGGGTGCCAGACAGCACCCGGCCTCCCCCGTTTCCCTCACCCTCACAGCACCTTCCCTATGAAACAGCTTTGTCGACAGAGCTCGTCTCAGCCTGCTGCTTTCAGGCACTAACACGACCAGCACTGATGACTTCATTCCCCTGACTAATGCCATCTTCAGAGTCAGCAGAGAGAAGTGGTGAAAAATACCACATCACACCCACTTCAGAGCATGCTTTCAGCGGTGTACTCCCTCTGGAGCACAAAGATGCCCATGTAAGGAGCAGGTGTGTTGGACAGAAAGTCAGCACTAGCAACAAATTAATTCCACTCATGTTGATCCCTAAAGAGATTGTGCTGGTTCCAGGGAAGCAGCTCACTGGTATGGCCACAGAGCAGACTGACAGCTTTACTGCTGCCTGCCCACTTCTGGGTAGAGTCCTGTAATGAAGACATTAACCAGCTGAGGAAGAGCCAAAAGAATGGCTGGAGATCCAGGAAACAGCCTGTGAGAAACAGCTACAGGAGTCTGTTTAGCCTGGAGAAGAAAACACTGAATACAAAGTTTGTAAAGCAAGGAACAAAGCATTCCCTGTGTCTGCTGTTGCTAGGAGAACCTAATGGCATAAAACTGCAGCAAGGATTCAGCATCTAAGTTAATTCTGGTGTAGCAAAGAACGGGAATGGCTTGCCTCAGGATTGTGCTGGCTCTGTAATAATAGAGGGCTGTGAGAACAGGCTAGACAGGCGTCTGTCAGGTGGAGAGAAGGGAGAAAGTCTCCGGAGAGCCTGCCCAGCCCAGTTTTCTAGGAGTCTTTGTCATGAAAGCCATTTTTCTCCGAATGACTACCTTCAGTGCAGGAGCAATCAAGGTCAGCCATTTGTGCAGCTCCATGCATCGTTTCCAGCACATGAATGTGCTCCCAAATCTCATTTACAAGCAACAGCAGAGCTGGGCCAACCTGCCACACAGCAAGGCAGGGATCTGCTCCTGTAGCACCAGCCTCCTCCTGTGCCTGCTCCTCTGGACTGAACCCTTTGGGCTCAACCCTGACCAAACCCTTTGGGCTCAACCCCTACAACCACCCTGCTTTGGACAGGCAGTTTTGGAGGTGTTAATGCCTACATTGTCCACGTGCCAAGATGTGAACACCCTCATGCTAACACTGTTTTTAGACAAGCAATTTATACAACAAGATAAAAAGCAAGCTCTGAGAGCTGTACTGGCCCTCCCAGCTGTGCAGCTGCAGTGGGCAGCTCTGGATGGTGCTAGAAACATCCACTTACATCATCCGAGTGCGATTCCTCTTCCTCCTTCTCCTGCCCCTCCTCGTCTTCCTCAGCACGGGCTGGGTGAATCACCTCAGATGTTGCCACAGGCCCCTCATCCTCTGTGATCTCATCCCCTGTAGCAGTGTAAACTCTTTCTTCTTCTATAACTGTCTCAGTGTTCCGGTATTCAAAAGGCACATTCCCATACCGATGGCATGAGCCAGTCTTTGGGAAATTCAGCTGCAACTTCTTGATAATCCAGGGAGGCAGCCTGCAGGCCCGGATCAGCTCCAGGAAAACCTTCAGGGGGGTGCCCACGTTCCCATAAGGCATGAAGGAAGGAGGGTTGAACTCAGGCAGCCGCTTCAAGTCTGCTTCAGCAATAGAGTCACCTGCAGCCGGTTCGTGCCCGCAGCAGGGAGACGTCTCTGCGCCTGCAGGAGGGAAGGAACGGCTTTGTGAGGGAAAACACTCCACCACAGAGGAGTAAATCACGTCCCTCCCAGGCAGGAGAGGGATAAGCAGGCTCCAAAATGACTCTTTGTGCCTCAGAAAGGATTTAATGTCTTAAGGAAGCCCTGTGAGGGCTTTCAACACTTAGGCTGGCGCCCGCAGGGAGCCCAACGGGTTCTCCAGGACCATCAGAGGAGACCCGACCCGACCCGACCTCCCCTCCCGTTGCTCGTACCTGTACCGGGGCTGAAGCGGACCCTGCGGATGAGGCAGCGGCCGGGCAGCGAGGCACCGCCGGGCCCGACCCACCGCTTGCCCGAGTACATGCGGACGAAGCGGCGGGCGCGGCCGGGCCGCACGGCCACCAGGCAGGAGCAAGTGCGCGGCGCCGCGGCCTCCTCACCGCTCCCCGCCGGCGGGCGCTCGGGGCGGTGCCGGTAGTGGAAGCAGAGGAAGCCGCCGGCCTCTATGAACTGGCTGAAGTAGGCGCGGAGCTGTGCGGAGCGCAGCGCGGCCGGGATGCCGCTCACCAGGCAGTACCGAGCGGCGCCGCCATTACCCCCCGGCGCCGCCATCTTGCCCAGCCGGCACGGCGCGCTCTGATGACGTCGGTCTCTGAAGCGCGGAGTGGGCGCCGCCTGGTGGACAGGAGGGACCTGGGGGGATCACAAGCTCTGGGGATGGCCAAGCCGCAGTGGGGGTCACAAGCCATGGGGGTGTGAGGGTGCTGGGGGTCTCCAAGCCGCCCATGCCATGCAGTGTGGCCCCATACAAGGGGTTCTCTCTCTTGCTGAAGCTCCAGTGCCATGTGTCCCCCCATGGAGGGGTGCCCCGTAGCATCAGACCTGCTCCATGGGCAGTGACACCGGGGGGGTGTCACAATAGAGGGGGCAGCGCACAGCGATCCCTGCCCCGGGGGCAGGATGGAGGCACCGGGGGCTCTGCCCTGCGCCTGGCTTCGGGGTAGCTCTGGCACCCACGTGCCATGACTCACACACGTGTCACCGGGCGCGGGGCTGCCCGTGTCTGGCGTGGGCCTCATCCGGTGACTCACGCCCTCCCTGCCCCATGGAAAACGGCCGTCATGGGGCTGAGATCACCTTGGAAGCCTCTGTCCCTGCTGAGCGGCACCGGAGGGAGGGCTCGAGGTGTTTCCATGGGCAGGAGGAGGACGGGGCGTGGGGAGCCTTCGTGTGGCTTCACCCAACCCTCATCTGGGCCGGGCGTTTGAGCCTCTTGGCAGCTGTATGTGCATCCAGGTGAGTCAGAGCATCCACTTCTGACACCACCAGTGGGCCGGGAGCCTTGGGTGAGGCTCAGCGCCTGGAGAACCGTCAATTCCTTGCGTCCCATCACAACGCTCCCTGCCCATGGCAAGGCAGATGGATTTCTATGGAAAGGCCCTTTCCTTTGGAGCACCCTTTCCATGCCACCCCCCCTCAGAAATGGCACCTCAGCTCTAACAAGTCACCACCACATTCCAAAACATAAAACAGTTTATTAAAAAAATAATTTATTACAACTTATATACAAACTCCAGACTGTTTCCTTATAAAATACTGACATCTAACTTGTGGCAGAAGCTGCAAGCAGGAGGAATGAGCTTTCCAGGCTCTATCTCCAACGAGGGATCTTTGGCTCAACTGCTAAACCAGCTCAGTTCAGCTCCACAGTGTTTGCAGCTCAGGGTTTGCTCACTGGCCCAAATGCTCTTAGTAACCCACTGTGGCATTTCATGGTATTAAAGAGAAAAGATGGAGTCAGACAGAGAGGGAAATCTGCACACTCTGCAAGATCTGATACTGGTTTTTCCCCTTTTGGTGCCTTAGGAAGATCTTTCATGAATAGTTCTAAGATTTCAAGCACAATAAACAGAGCAAGACTTCACCCAGACCTAATCCCACCACGTTTGTGACCAGGAAGTGATGCTGAGGACATGCCTCAAAACCACAGAGTCAAGCTGTTAGCTGAGGACAAACTTGGAGTTAACAGCAAAATGCACACTGATTTCAATGGGATCAAGGATTCACTGAGTAAAAACCAGGCTGGGCTCTAACCTGCCCTGCTCCATGCTCTGTTCTCCTGAAACGGAGACCAGGAGCTGCTGTAAACACCAGCTGAACTGGAGTTGTTTCTCTGCCTGCTCTGCAGCAGCCTGGCAGAATCCTCCTGCCTCATCCTTACTGCAATCCCTGCAGAGTCCAAGGCTAAAGCCCTGCTCCCAGATGCACGTTCCTCGCCTGGTGAGGTGTGGGGAGCACCCATGGGGCTGGGGGCTGAGCATGGCTCCTCAGCACGGTGCAGGAGCCAGCTGCCTGCCCGTTATCTCACAGAGCATTTCGGCAAGGAGCTCCATGATGTCCGCATTGCCGATGATGGGTCGGAAGAAGAGATCCGTGATGAGGGCAGGAGGGATGGATTTCAAGGTGGAGGTGATGAGCAAAATGCGGGCGAAGCGGCCCTGGTCCTCGGGGTGCAGGGGCTGCAGCACCTCCTGAAGCGCTCGCTGGGCTTCCTGCTGGAGGCTCTTGATGTACAGGGAGGCCCTCAGCCCAGGGACGTCTGCCGAGGGACAGGGGAAAAGATGGGGATGAAGGAGGCTGGAAAAACACCCCAGCTTTTGTCCATCCCACCCTTCCCTATTTCTCAGAAGGGATCTCCAAGGCCATACTAATGAGGTGTATGCAGCACTACGGAGTTGTGCCAGGGCTGCTGTTTGAAGGAGGAAAAGTAATTAACTGGGCAAACTACTGCTGTACATCAATCCTGAAGTGCTTTAGTGCATGCAGGGCTGGCAAAGCTCTCTGACATCCCTCCTCCCCGCTTCCTGGCACTTTCGGTAGCAGGGAGTGTTAAGAATGAGGTAATGGGATGATCTGAGGGTCCCCAAGCCAAGGGGCATGTGTGGAGATGCCGATGGGAGCAGGGTGAGCTCTCCCACCAGCAGGCAGAGCCATGAGCACTGAGCACTCACCAGGATTGAAGAGAATGGCTCCCTTCAGGTAGGCATACTCCTTGGGGCTCAGGTCCAGGCTCCAGAAGGTGTTGAGGCAGCACTGCAGCCGCTGCACAGCCGCCAGTGTGGGCTGTGCCCACTCAGGCTCCTGCCATTTGCTTTGCCCATTGAGGAGGATCTTCTTGAGCATGCTGGGGGCTGGGGTCTCCATCACCTCGAAGGTCACCATCTCCTGGACCAAACCCAGGAGGAAAAGGGGGACCCAGCAGCTGTCCAGCAGCAGGAGCTGGTCCTCTCGGGGCAGCAGGTTGAAGGAAGGGAGGTTTTTCATGAAGCTGATGGTCTTTACCAGCACGTTGGAGGCTGCCTGGCAGGTGATGTGGGGCGTGCGGAGGCAGACGGTGCGGTGCTGGTGGCAGAGGCAGCGCTGCTGCACTGGGCTGTGGCTGAGGTTCTGGCTGAGGAGGGTGTAGAGGATGGCGGTGTGCTTGTCCTCGCTGTGGCACTGGCACCTCTCACAGTCCATGGCCATGCTGCTGCTGGTCATAGCCGAGCCGAGGGGCTGGATCCTCAGCAAAACTCAGCTCCTGCTACAGCAGATGGGAGAGAGACATAAAATCCCTCCGGAACCCTCCGCTGCAGGCTGGATTCTCCCTGTCTTCCCAGCTCTGCCAGCCCATAGCCGCTCAAACCAGCTCTTATAAGGCCGGGCCAGGAGTGAAACACCCCTCCACAGCCTTGACCGCGCTGTGATTAAGCAGTCATTATAAAAGCCCAACCACCCACCGTCACCTGGGCTGATTGGCCGGGGCAAAGGAGTTCTGTGCACCGTGTCAACGGCTGTTTTCTCAATGAAGCAGCAAGGGAAGGGGCCAGTGGGTTGGGCGACCTTATCACCATTCCCCAAACAGTATAAACAAAGTCATTAACCCAGCCTGTACCATGGCACCAAGGCCCCCGCGCTGCCGGCGGTGTCGCTGCCGGCAGGGTCACACGCACTCATCTGGGGCCTCCCTTCCATGACCCGCGTGCTCCGGCCTTGGAACAACCAACCTGGAAGTTATTTTAGCAGCACCTGTTTGCCTGACCTTGCTCAGGAGACTCTGGTTGTTAGAGAGGAGGAAGAGAGAGGCGGCGAGCCATGGGCTGCGGCGGTCAGCCCCAGGCGAGGCACAGGGATCCGTTCGGGTCTCTCGGGGGAAGCGCAGGGCAGGAGAAGGGCAAATTCTTGGATTTTCACCTGGAATTATTGAGTGGTTTTAGTCATTGAGCAGCAGGAATTGAAGCAGGGAAGCGGCAGCTTCTAATCATGGGTTTCCAGAGGGGGCGTGTGCGTGTGTGTGTGAAGAGGAGGAGGGATACCTGCGGCACAGAGGGAGACCCCCCCCCCAATCCTAACACACACACACAGGGATGGCAAAAAATGCCCCATTTGAAGGGGCAATCAGATAGGGGCAACTCGTTTTACCTTGCTTTCAGATGTGTTTCATCGGCACCACGGGCTGCCAGCCCCCAAGCACACCAGAATTGGGTTGTTTGGGCAGGGAAGGCTCAGTATGGCACAGCTATAGAACCAATGAGCCTGGAAAAGACCTTTAAGACCATCAAGTCCAGCCATTACCCCAGGAGCACGCCTAACCCGCGACAATGAGGGCACACCAGCACATAGGCAACAGGAGACATAAAAGCGTGAGGATTTGGGGTTTTTACCTTCTCTGCTACCCCATCTCCTCCCCAGGGGAGAAGAGGAACCAGAGCGATGGGACCAGACCACTCCAAGGCACCTCCTGTCCCTCGAGCAACCTCTGCTCTTCACCCTATTCGTGTGCCAGGATCATTCTCCACCACCCCACGCTGGTTGTGAGGCCGGACCCAGGCTCGCCGGTGACGGGGGCCACGGTGCAGAGCCGGTGTCCCCGGGAGGGCAGCGCAAGGCCCAAGGCCCAAGGCAGGCTCAGGGGCCTGCACCGAGCTTTCTGGAAAGGCCTGGACAGGCGGTTGCTATAGCAACCGAACCCCGCGCCTCGCGTCCCACCCTTCCTCCCACTGATTGGTTCGTGCTGTTGTCAATCAGCAGAGAGACGCCCTGGGATTGGTGGACGTAAGAAGCGCGCGGTTGCGTTTGCTCTTCCGTTGGCGCCGCTTCCGGTTCCGGTCGCCGGTGTGAGGGGCTGAGGCGGGCGGCAGCGGCGGGCGCCATGGGGCTGAGCGCGGAGGATGCGGCGGAGCAGGAGGACCGCTTTGACGGCATGCTGCTCGCCATGGCGCAGCAGCACCAGGGCGGCGTGCGCGAGGTAGCGCCGCCGGCACCGGGAGGCAGCGGCGGGAGCTTCCCCGTGTTCCCGAAGGGGAACGGGAACGGGGACGGGGGGGGGGGAAGGATGGACCGGGAGGAGAGAGTGGTAAGGGGCGGGAGGGTGGAGGGCCCGGTTTTCCTAGGTGCAAGCGGTGCACAGGAGGCAAGTGTGCTTCTCTCTCTTCCTCCTACGAGAGCGGCACGGGCCTAGCGCCAGCTCCGGGGAGCGCGGAGGAGCCGGCCGTTAATTAACGGGGTTAATAAGTGGGGTGAGGAGCTTCGGCCTACGCCCTCGCACCCCAACGGAGGTACAGTGCAAGCAGGGCGACAACAAAGCAGAACACCCGAGAGGAGGCTCGGTTCCTGCCGCCCCCCCCACGTGCCCAGTCCCTAGCGCCCCACCCCCCCCCCGATAACCGATGGGGGGTTGGACTCGACCATGAAGTGCACTTGAACGGGAATGTGGTGCCCTCCTCTGGGACAGGGCTCTGGGGAAGCACCTCATGCTTCCCAGTGTGCCCCTGCAGCGTTCAGAGCCTGCTTTGCTGGACGTCTGGGACGCATGAGAATCGTTTAGGGACACAGCTCCTTAGAACAGCTCCTTGTGCTGCAAGGAAACCTCTGGTTGAAATATGGAGAGGACGGAATGCTTTGGAAATAAAGATAAGCCAAGTCCATGAAGAGTATGGATGTCCATAGGGGTGTTCGGGGGTGCCAGTTTAAAACAGCCAAGTGCATGAGGTATCTGGCAGCCAGTTAGGTGTAAAAATAAAGAGGTCTTGGGGAAGGGTGAGTTTGCACAATTTAAAGGTTTAAGTGTGCAAAGAAGCAAAGTACAGTACATGTGTATATAGAATCATAGAATAGTTTGGGTTGGAAAGGACCTTAAGATCATCCAGTTCCACCCCCCCTGCCATGGGCAGGGACATCTCCCACTAAACCATGCCACCCAAGGCTCTGTCCAGCCTGACCTTGAATACGGCCAGGGACGGAGCATTCACAACTTCCCTGGGCAACCCATTCCAGTGCCTTCCTTTTCACTCCAGTCTTTTGACTGAAAATCTAAAGTAGCAGAAAACTACTGAGTATTTCAGTCTATGTACGTGCATAGATGCACATACATACACATACCCACCCGAATTCCTGCCTCACATAACAGCATGGGGTGTTGGAGTAGCTGTGTCTCCAAGGTGACCTGACAATAAACTGCTTGCCCTTTCCTCATGTCAACCACACAAATGCCTCTTCTGGACACTGGGAATCCCGGAGCTGGATTTCCACAAAAGCTGTTGGATTGGGAAACAGCCGCAGGGCTGATTTAAGTATGATCCTGGTACATGGATAGGGAGGATGAAGAGCAGAGGCTGCTCAAGGGACAGGAGGTGGCTTGGTGTGATCTGGTCTCATTGCTCGCTCTTTGTCTCCTCCCCTTCTCCCACCCCCCATCCCTGTTTCTTCTCCCAGCTTGTGAACACGTTCTTTAGTTTCCTGAGGCGTAAAACGGATTTCTTCACCGGGGGAGAAGACGGAGTAGCAGAGAAGGTAAAAAAACCCCAAATCCTTTATGCCACTTCTGTCTGTGCCGTACTGAGCCTTCCCTGCCTGAACAGCCCAAAGCATTCCGGTGTGCTTGGGGACACTGTGATGCTGATGAAACACATTGCTGAAGCAAGCTAAAACCAGTTGCCTCTATCTGATTGCTCCTTCAAATGGTACCAGTGGTGTGGCAGGTTCTGTTGCCACGCTCTGGCCAAAGGCTTGTTTGGAAAGCAAATCTGCCAGACACACTGACTTAACGGTGACACACACCGTGGTGTTGATAACCCCACGTTACGTTGTTTGTTCATCTCAGAAAAAGCACAAAGTCCACATCTCTGCACAGGCGCCTGCACCTTTGTCTGTATGGAGCTGGGAGCAAGCCTGGGGGTCCGTGCACTGGCAGCCTGAGCTCCTCACCCAGCTCCAGAGCTGAAAAGCTCAATTGTTTCCCTGCAGGGAAATAAGATTCAGAGTATTCAGACATGAACTGGCCAAACTTTCTTGCTTATACTTAGCAATATAGCAGTTGTTCTCCCTGGACTGCTGGAACTCCAGCAAATGGGGTGCTGCTGCTGTGCTGAAGGTGTCAGGGTAGATGTTAGCTGCTAAGACAGTGTGTAACTTACTGTGTCTAGTCTTTAAAGGGACAAAATGAAAGCAGGAAAAGGAAGGAAAAGAGGATGGTTGTAAAGTAAGAAAGATGAAGCCTGCTGTCATTTTTCTTTGCCTAAAGAACAATTTTCCCTGAATTCCTGGGCATGCTCCCAGCGGGTGAAACCAGAGTAGCATTTCAGAGATGACACTGGCCCATGATTCTGGAGGTCCTGGCTACTGTTGCTGCCAACTCCATAGAAATCTCTGTCTTTGCCTGTAAAAGGACAGCGTGTCCTTGGCTGGTGTCTGTTAAAATGCTGTGTGGTCTTCTGCAAAGGTGCTCAGTGCAGTATCTCTGACACCACAGGAACTGCACCAAGAATTGAACAAACTGCTCCTCTGAAGCAGAAATACTTTGTGTCGGTTACAAAACTCCAAGGTGTGGATACTTCGAGTTGATTTGGGAAAGAAGTGAACCCTCCTGAAAGTTTCTAGGGTATATATAAACCAGTACCTGACCCCACCGCCCTGGCTGAGAAATCTCTCCAGTTCCTTTTCTTGGGTTCTATCTACATTGTTTTCCGGAGCAAACTTCAGTTCTCATACGTGCTTCTTTGCACAGTGCCCTTGGTATTATCAGCCATGGGGCAGTTGCTCTGGCTTCCTGCCTATGTACTCAGCTTCCCTGCTGAGCAGTAGAGCCCTTTGCATCAGAGACCTTGACATTTTGCTTTTCATAGTCACAACAACATGAGAATTGGGACTGGATTTATGTAGGAACTTGCCCCTGAGTGTAAATCATTGAGCTTTTCAAATGTTTCTCCTCTAAAACGTGGCACCAAGTCTCCATCTGGAAAAGCCCAGTCATGGGTAAGGTGAGAAGTAGGTAAAAAACCTTTGATCTGGTGTCTCTTTTTTTCCAGCTGTGCTGTCTTAGATGGAGTAGCTGTCAAATGGCTGGGTTAGGCATCTGCTCATCCTGGAACTGCACAAAGGGCAGGACAAATGGAGAACTGTTATTTCCCTCTTACCTCCATGAGAATCCCTGTGTAAGGAAGAACTAGGAAGGGCTACATGGAAATACTCTTTTTCTGCCAGTTTAGATTTTCAGTCAAAAGACTGGAGCGAAAAGGAAGGGAAAAGCCACAACATCTACAGATGTTCTCAGTAAACAGTGAATTGGCTTCATTTGGGTTTGAAAGAGTAGTGGTTGGTTAACCCCCTTTGGTGCTGTTCCTGTCTTTCAGCTGATCACAGACACCTTCAACCATCACAACAAACTGGCCCAGAAGGAACGGAAGGAGAAGAAGGCTCGTCAGGAGGCAGAGCGGCGTGAAAAGTCAGAGCGAGCTGCAAAGCTTGCTAAGGAAAAGCAAGAAGCAAACGAGCCAAGGATTAAGGAACTTACAGATGAGGAAGCAGAAAGGCTGCAGCTGGAAATCAACCAGGTAAAAGCGAGGTCTGGTGCCTTCAGGTACCATTTGGGTCATTTTCACTGGCCTGCATGTAGTTCTGGTAGCAGTGAGGGCTTAAAATGGCTCAGACTTGTTCCGTTGCAGTGTCAGCTGTCAGCCTGGGCTCAACTGTTGCATTGTAGCAACAACATCTGCTACAGTCATCCAAAGCTGTGAGGACCAAGGGAATCTTCCCCTTAGCAGCACTGCTTTCCTGTAACACTGTTCTAAGGGCTAAAATTTCTTCAGTGCAGGTCTTCAGTCCTGCTCTGTGGTTTCAGCTGAAGAGGTTGAGGCCACCTAGTGTCAGATCAGCAAGTAACACAAGGTGCCAACGTTTGGCTGAGGGTGTTTGTTCTCTTTTTAAGCAGAAGAAAGAGGCACAAGGACAGGTTAACAGTGTCCCAGTGAAACCCTCGGAGGAAGAAGGTGACTCTT